GGGGTCATGACCCCCATGACCCCCCCCTCTGGATACACCCTTGGTCAATAGACATTATTTCTGCCCTTTTAAAAGATTACCATTGTTCGAAAAATTAGGGATAAATACACCACCCCTTGGGGGCTGAGTTTGCGGCGCTGATCAAAATCGAGAAATATGTGCTCTGGCAATCAAAGAAACAAAGACTCCCGGTTTTTTTTTCGATATACCACCTTGTATTAAAAGCCAATTATAAGCCCAAACAGTGGTAGAAAACACTGAAGTGCCCCTAAACGTAAGTAGGAATTGATTGGTCTGAAATTGCAAAACTTTTCCCCATTAACAAAGGAAATTAAAATAAAAAAATTTCATTTGGTTCCTCAGAACTGAAACACATACCAAATGGAATGAAGAAGGAAAACACTTTCATACCGTAATCGCAGTTTGATCAAATTACTAACTATTGCAATAATAACCCTTTATTGAGCGAGTGACCCCCATTTTAGAAATAGCTTTGTTTATCGCAATAATTAGTTTGAAAGTTCGAAAAGATGGACTATTGGGACTATTGCAGTATTATTGCGTGTGTTTTAGTGCACATGACTAATTTCCACCCGTTGATATAGCATTTAGGATGTCTATGGACCAATTAATAAGTTTGCAGTTGGGTGAAAAATTCGCATTTGCTGCTAAATCTGCACTTTAGCTAAATGGGGTAAAACTACTGTTTCTCTCAACTTACCCGAAAGTGCAATAGCAACTTTGTCGACTCCTCCAAGGGGTTTCAATGCATCTCTTGCCTTGCTTCCGAACAGTTTTTCCAAGTAGTTCGGTCCATGGCTAGCCAATAGGGATTTGAGAAAACTTCCGGTCTCCTCAACTGGAGGCCTCTTAGCAGCTGTGCATAATCTGCAAAGGCAAAACAACATATTTCTAATCAAGTTCTGGATGCTGATTGTTAATTAACTATCGCGCTTAATTACGAAAATTAAATAACGAAATCACCCGCCTGGACTGAATAATTTATTGTTTGATACTGCAACAAATAGGGGATTTGAAACGAGTTGTAACTTGCCTAGAATCCTCATCGTATCCATCAGGACAATCTGGCGCTCCGTCGCAGAGATATTGAATCGATATGCAGTTTCCATCCCCAGGACATTTGAATGGCTCGTAAGGGTGGCAGGCGTCACCTAAAGTGGATATTCAATTTGTCATAGCAGTATTAACCCTCTCCATTTCGGTTTTCCCCAAATACATTTTCTCTCCTAAATATTCATGATTTTAGAGCAAACAAACAAAGAAGCCTACATTATTTGGCTGGAGTTGTCAATGCTATTCTAGTTTATTTAGTTACTGAAACATAATTTTTTATTTTAGATAATTGTTTTATAATTAGAACGTGCAAATATAGCAAAATTAATCAATAAAGGTAGCAAGCGTGTAATGGGGAATTTATTGGTGAGATTTTCTGTCCTATTTTGGCCTCGGGGGTCTGATGATGAGGGTACAACCCATGAGGATACACATAAACTATTCCTAGTGCCTTTGAGGGAGACCTAGCCTAAAGCCGGGAAATATAATTTTAACTTTACCTGGAACTGACAGAGTTTTCATTAGGTATCAGAATTTGATATGAAACCCAAGAAGGAAAGCTTTATAAATTGTCGATACAAAGCCTTCTTCAAACTCTCATTTACTCCATTTGAAAAAGCGGCTTTTATGCTCTTTGTTTTAAATCCGCCCCTCGAACCGATTTTCTAATTTGAAGCCAAATCAGAGCAAGATAAATTCGATAAAACTGTAAACACGATCCTCATCAATTTGCAAATTATGGATTTGCCAACCTGACTAAATCGGATCGGCCGGGGCTTTAAAATGTTGGTGATTTATTACAATAATGGACTCGATAAAATATTTGTTTCAGTATTTTTGGCATACAATACATTTTCGTTACTAAGCAAACTAGGAAAGGTTATAGTTTATGTAAACCTTCTATCAATTCGTGACGCTCTTGGCTATAGACGCCCATTACCCAAACATACTCTAGACCCAGAGGAAAAGTATTTTGTAGCAATAAATTCACATTTCCAGGCTTTTAGCGTTGGCTGAAAATGGACCTATGACTCAACATTACCAAAATGCTGGAATATTGCAAATCAACAAACCAATGTAGATTTTTACATCATCAATTTGTTAAATTGCCCCCAAAATGCGTCAATAGCAAATTTGTAAAATCTAACCATTTGGCCTCAAAGTTGAGACATTGATCGATATTGCCATGCAAATCACGCAAAATTGAAGCGTTTTACATAACTAACTCTTTGGCTGTCGTATCTAACCGAGTATTGGATGTGATTATTAGATAATTTCATTCTATAGCCTAGAGATAGGTACCTATGTGCTCGTAACAGATCCTAGACATAGAATACGGGGATTAATAAATATCTCGCGGTTATGCTGGAAAGGTCGTTTTGTATTAAATTAATTGCTTTTGTTAGCTGGGGTACGGTTTCAAACTTTCAACGACCACTAAAAACTTTCTTGAAAGAGAAATACCTTGGAGCTAGTCTCAACTGTTTGACATAGTTTTCTGTGGTTCATTAAGAATAGAACTCGTGCATTTCGCAAACAGTTTTAAACACTTTCAAATTATTCAATTGAGTGGAAAATTGTTTTTAAACTCCCACTCTTAGTGGATTCTTGGAACAAGCAGCTTCCAGAGCATCAGAGTCAATTAAAAGCATTTCAGTAAAACTTGCGTTTAACCGCACAAGTTCATTAAGAAAATTCACCTTTAATAAAATAGACCCTCTTGAGGTCGAAATAAATTGAATACGCATTTTCAGTACTCTGACATACTGGGGCAAGCGTGAAAAATGTATCTTATTCGGGCTTGTAGGGTGAAGCTCTGTGAAAATCGGGCCCTTGCGTACCTAATATAATTTAGATGTTGTTTTTTCAAGGGACCCGTTTTAGTCCTTAGAAACCACATCAGCAATTTACATTTATTACTTTCGCGATTGCTTTTAAAAGCAACATTTACAACGCATTTTTATTTCTTGTGCCAACATTCAAACTACAGCAACCATCGGCTTTAAAACCGCATTTGTGCTTTAGTTTAACAAAGAGCGCCGCATCCATTCTTTCCAAAGTCTATTGTGAGGCAGGATTAGGAAGTTTTCCTTCGCAGTAACTCAATTTACATATCCGGTATGTGAACCAGAAACAATAAGTGGAGCGTGTGTGCAAATTCAAAGCCGAAGAAAAGGAAATGGTTGATTTAAAATATAATTCACTATTTCAAAAATTTCTGTACAAGATTTTAAAGCAAATTCAATGAAAAACCACAATAAGACATGCAAGTTGTTATAGAGGGGGTTTGCTTTGGTTCGCAGCTTCCATTTAATAATAAACATAAGTGAACTGTTGCGAAAATTTGAAACATGGCCTGCTTTCTGCAGAATATTTTATTTCCACCTAAATCTGAATGAATCTCTTTGTGTCTTTTTTATTTATGGATTAATTTAAAACCTGACATGAAAAAAAGGAAGTATCTACATTTTCCAGGAAACTTGGTAATTGAGCTCGAAGTTTTTTCTAATTACCACAACAGACCAATTTCCAATATTTTCCACTTTCCGAATGTTAACAAACACAAAGGCAAACACCTTATCAATTAACACGTCCGAACCAATGAAACGTTTGGTCAATTATTAAGGTTCAACGCCTCAATTAGGGAGTCCATTGCTGATGAAAAAGGAGCTTATTCAAATTAGAAAGATAATTGTTTTGGAACGTTTTTCCAAATTAAATTCGGGACAAAATTTCAAGAGAAAATTTCATTTGAGGAAAATTGTTGATACAGGAATTACCGTAAATTATGTCCGAAAATATCTTTTCACATAAAAATTCGATTCAAGTCTCACATTTATATAAAAAATTGTAATGGTGCGGTGTGCGCAAAAATTTAGCCTCACTTGCCAATGTATGTTTAAGGGGACATTAGGAGTAGGAACAAGATGCACAACATGTTAATACCTTGTTTAAAATGAACCTTATTTTCGCATCTGGAGCAAAACTGGCAAATTCCTAATTATGAATGAACTCGCGAGCTCATTCGTTTCAATTATCGTTAAACTTTTATATACGAGATCCTCAAAAATTGTTCTCAGGGGCAAACCTCAGCTATTTTATGATTATTACCTGCACGCATTCCTAATAACATTTTTTATGTTCAATTCCCGGTTGTTTTCATACCATTCCTTCATAATTTGTTGGAGGAAATAGGGGACACTGAGAACATGATGGGTAAATAACTCGTTTATTTGATAAGGTGTAACGGTAAGAAATCGCTACCTGAGTTCATAGTAGGTAGAAAGGTTTCTGCATAATTGATAAAAAGATCTTGTAAAAATTTCATTTGCCGCGTCGTGTAGATGTTTTAGGAGAATTTGTGGAAATTTATTGGCAAATAAATTCGTGAGGGAATCCTTGTCATCAAAATTAACTTCATTTTCGGTCCGTTGCGCATTATATTTCTTATTTTTCTATTTAGCAATAAAAAAATCTTATATTTGCTCAATTGCAAACATTAATTCGCCAGCTCTTTTTCTAATGAAAGCAACATGTTCTACTGTCGGCAATATTACCCCTTAATGCTTTCTGCTCTGTTAAGTAGAAAATATATTCGCTCAGGTGAAAATATTGCCTCAAATATTAGAAGGCAAAGGCCAGCTTTATTGCCAATTATGATGCTATTTTTGGCACGTAATTCTGGAAACTTAATTGATTCTTGTTGGCACTTAGCACCTATAATGTTTCTCGAAATATTTCCCACACCGATTTACTTAAATTTGCAATCACTTAAATGTTAATATTAAATATCAACTTCTTTGTTATCCCGATACAGAATAGTCTTTTTAAGGACAATTAAAAAATAATTGAGCAAGTTAAAATCTCATCTGACACGCTCATCGCTTAAATGCACTTGCTATAAAATAGGGATATATAATAAAATATCGATCTCGATAAGTCAAGCATCAAATTATCCGGAAAACTGTAACCAACCCTAATAATTTGTTAGGCAATGTTGCATTTTTAATTTCAGATCTTTGCATGAGTTAGCCAATTAAAAGGGCATATATCCCATGGTAATTCCTACCGGTTACAAACAAACGTGTTAGTCTAATTAATATTTCACGTTTACTATTATTTTTATGTCATTATGTCGTGTCTGCTTTGATGCAAGCGGTGGAACTATTGAGGGCAAAAGTGCAATTTGAAACAACTAATACAACTTATTAATGCGAGTCTTCCCGCAAACGTGCTTGAAATGGAAAAAGTTGCATCTATTGAATTGTCAACTACGAAGGGTGAGTGCTTTTCACTTTCTACAAAAAATCTGCTCGAAGAAAATTTGTTTTTCAGTTTAAAAATATTGAAGAAAAAATTCGACAGTTGAAAAAATATTCAACTAAAATCATGTAAAGGTGAAAGACTTATTGAAAACTTTGTATTTCTCTGTCAAACGATTGGTTTTCCTAATGCAAGTTTTATTTCAGGTAAATATTCGACTGTGTGTATCGACGTTAATAAATTCGGTTACTTGAAGTGAAAATCGACGGTTCAGTTCAAATATTTATTTTTTTTGCTGAATAATAAATTCAACGGTTCAACCCACATCATCGCCATCAGTTTCATGTGATGGTTTCTTTTAAAAATTGGATGGAAATGTTTTTTTAATATTTTATTTTCTAATAACTCAAACTCGGAATTATTACTTACCATACGCATATTCGTTTTGTAATGAACTGCGGAGATTGAAACATGATATTAAGTTTCTGACATGCAAAAATCCCATTTGGTATTTGAGAATTCCAAGTATAACACATCCCCTAATTTTATTGAGTCTGCTCTCTCCATTAATATTCAAGAATGCTTCGTTCCCCCATTAGCTCTATTAATTTGTTCCCCTTAATAAACCTGGATTGTGGAAGCTTTTGGCCTTACTCTCAGCTTAGAAATATATACGAAAATCCAATTAAAACTTGCCAAATGCAACTTTCGATGGTTCAAAGCAATGATTTAGGACAGTGAAAATGTTTATGTACAGTAGATAGGACTTTCAATCTAATTTTGCAAACATTAGTTGATTGAAGTAAATGGTTAGAAAATTTGTTTGCGTAAACAT